AACTCACAGCATAGTCTGTGAATTGGCTATGTGCGTGCGTGCTCCATTGTGTCACTCATGTCAGACCCCATGGACTGTAGCCCACCAGGTTCCTCTGTCCATGGGACTTCCCTGGCAAGAGCACTGGAGTGGGTTGCCATGCCCTCCTCCAGGGGATCTTCCCAACCTGGGGCTCGAACTCAAGTCTCCTGCATCTTCTGCATTGGCAGGCAGATTCTTTACCCACTGGGCCCCCTGGGAAGCCCCGATTGGTTATAGCCCAATACAAAGTAAAAGGTTTTTAAAAGAAGGAAAAAAGATCCCCCATTGCCCTTCCTCCTGGGTCACCCACATCTAAACTTTTTCAGAGGCATAGCCTGGAGCAGGAGGGGGCCTCTGGCCTTCCCCTGTGCCTCCACGCCCTCTACAGGTCCACAGAGCACCCAGCCCAAGGCCTGGCCACCATTGGGCCAGGGTTACTCTGGAGTGGGCACTCACGGTCTAGAGCGAGGCGGGTGTGGCTGGTGTTGCCGTGAGAACTGCTGTGGGAGTGAGCCTGGTGCAAGGATTCATCCACCACGGCCGCCATCCAGATGGCCAGGTTGGTGGTGAGGGTGAACATGAGACCACACCTGTTCGGGGAGGGAGAGCAGAGGTCAGTGAGAGTCTGTGGCTTGTGCTGGGTCCCCAGCAAGGTGGCGAGCTGGGGGGCTATACTGGGAGATGGTGCTGAGGAGCAAGAAAGCAGGCAAGCCCCCGTGTGAGCAGAGAAGATGAGTTTGGAAGGAACACAGCCTGGCTGAGATGCCTTCCAAGAGAGAACTGGGGGTGTCCAGGGGCCACTCTGCTCCCTCCTCTAAGGGAGAGGACATTTGTACATGACACACACCATCCTGCCAAGTACTCCCCGCCCCCACAGCACAGGGTGGTGGAAGCTGGGCTTACAAAGCGCGGAGGCCTCGACTGAAGCCCCATCTGGGGGCAGAAAGAGGACCCATGCCCCAGGTTGGGAAGCGCCCATCTCATGCCAGGTGAGCTGAGCACCTGGGCACGGGCACTGGGCCACGGGCGTGCATCAGGCACTCACCGAGTCAGGTCCAGGTGGGCGTGAACACAGTCTTTAGCGGAGACCCAGAGAAAGTAAGTCTGTGTTGAGAGAGAGTGGTGGTGTCAGCTACTCCGCAGATGGGCTCATGGTGGGAGCCCCGGACCCACGCCCGGCCCTAAGTTCGCTCTCCCTCAGGAACTCTCCAATTACGCAATCACGTTTATTTCAGCTTTACAATGTGAGATGCAGGTTTTCTCTCTTTCTATTCTGTGCAGCAATTAGTAGCAAATACTTCTCTGATTTTTAAAAATTTGCAAAATGTCACCAGTAAATTCTCTGTGTTTGTTTTCTGTTCCTTTGCAGGTGAAGGGAGTGGAATTTTGAGCCCAGTTATTTATTCCTGAGTGCAGGGTCAGTTCCGGTTAGGTCTTGTCTAAGGTAAAAAGAATCTTGGGGGCTTCTCCACTCTTTTAGGCAGCATCCCCCCCCATCCTCATCCTTTGTTGCCCTGCAGGTCCTCCCCCTCACCTGGATGCCCACAAATCCTTGCTCTGGTGTTTATCAATGTTGTTTAGTCGCCAAGTCATGTCCAACTGTGACCCCACAGACTGTAGCCTGGCAGGATCCTCTGCCCATGGGATTTCCCAAGCAAGAATACTGGAGTGAGTTGCCGTTTCCTTCTCCAGGGTTACTGATGTTGGGGTAACTTTATTTCCCATTTTGCCTGAGTATTCTTTAAAGTCATAAAATGTAAAATTAAAACTATATAAATGCCAAGGTCATAAGCGAATTAAATTGTAGAAACCTGGGCAGCATGGATGATGTTTCAAGAGAGGGAACCATACATGTGGTCATTCTGGGCTGAGGTCTGTTCTCAAACCAGTCCTGCCTCAGCTCAGGCAGATCTTTCCAGGGCTTATTTATGCAACAAATAAAAACTTGAACTTGTTTGAAAAATCCCATGTACAACGATACCATATTTTCTGAACAAATTCAGAACACATGGGACATGGCTGAGGCCAAACTGGCCATGCCGACAGCAGGACCCTGAGCTGAGACTGATGCCCTCTATGGGCCCCCAAGGAGGGCAGGGCAGGTTCTAGCAGACAGAGCAGCTGCCACAAGTGACACCTCCTAGGTGTTAACTACTGGCACCGCTTAAGTTGAAATGAAATCGCAGGGCGCCAAAGCAGGCACTCACATTTGGATATTACTTCATTACCAGCTGCTTCCAGATTTATGGACTCGTGATCTTCACTACAATCCCATCCGCCTTAATTAATTGCTCAGCGTAGAAGAGGAGTGGGGCTCAGACCTCCCGACCCCAGGCATTGGCTCCTTGCCACCACACTCAGGGACACTCCTCCCACCCACCTGGACAATGACGAACACAGCCTGGGTGAGAGGGTACAGGATCTTGATGGCTGACTGGCACTCAAGGAAACTGGAATAGTAGCCGGTCTTGAAGACATCCATGATGAGAGTGCAGATCCCAAACAGCACCAGCCCACCTGGGAGTGAGCGGTGGGGGTGGATCAGAGAGGCAGGAGAGAGGGGTTATGGATCTGAGGACTGATGGCTAAGTAATGGGATGACGGGGTGGATCCATGAGTGAATGGGGTAGGTGAGAGGATGGATGGATGGATAGCTAGGTGGACAGGTGGATGTTGAATGGGTGGGTGGATGAGTATACGATTGAGTGAGTGGATGGATGGATGTCCCATTGAGCCCTCATCCCTGTGGCTGCACAGATAGATAAGGGAAAGGGCCCTAGATAGACTCTTTCAACCGCAACAATCATCTGTTCTGGGCTCTCCACCAAAGTCTCTCCCATGCTCACCCTATTTCAATCTTTAGACATGGCAAGGAAGTTCCTTTCCAGCCCTCTCCGCATCCCTTTTCCAGGACTGTTTCCCTCTTCTCCCCCAATCGCAGCCCACCTCACCCTCAGGCACATCTAGTCCTGGGCAGTGCTGGGGTGGGGGGTGGGGGCAGTGCGGGGAGGCACACTTCTCCACAGTCTACCTCCAAGGGCCCCGAGCGCTTCCTGTGAGAGCTCCGCAGCCTCCCGCTCCCAGCCTGCGCCCCCCTCCTCCGCCCCCGCCTCCCCCGGCACCTCGGAGCCAGATGGGGCCTGCGTGCGCGTCCCGGTAGGGGACGCCGCCGGGGCAGCGCGCCGTGCCCAGGAGGTAGAAGAGGATCCAGAGCAGGGCCAGCAGCAGCATGGTGGTGAGGAGCGCGAACACGTCCGTGTCGTACACCGCCACCTTGTTGAAGGCGCCGCCGCTGATGAGCGTGCAGGCGAGCAGCAGCACGTTCACCGCCAGCAGCACCGACAGCAGGCGGCCGCCCTTCTTCCAGACCTCGCGGGGGGCCGGCCGCGGGGCCGGCGGGCTCTCCTTGGGGTCCGAGGGCAGCTCGGTGGACATGGCAGGGGCGACTGGAGGAGGTTGGAGCGGTCACTGTGGTGGGGAGCAGACAGGACCCAGGTCAGCCTCGAGGGCCCTCCCTGCTGCATCTTATCTCTATAGTTGGGGACCGGGGTGGCGGGGGGAGTTCTTGGCCCGCGCAGAGGGTGGGGGCTGCGGGTGGTGAAGGATGCGCGCGCGGAAGCGGAAGAGAGAAGCCGACCGTGCCGCTCTCGCGCTCGACGGGGAGGGAAGGAGAGGCGGCTGCGGCCCCGTCTGACCCCGTCTAAGGTCCCCCACTCCCGAGATCCGTCAGCCGGCTGGCCCCCAGGGGCACCCACCTGACTGGGCCGGGAGCCCGCGCTGAGCTGGGGGTCAGGGGGCGGCGAGCGCGTCCTGTCTCTGATGCCGGACTGGACGGGCGCTTTATACCGGGGAGGGCAGAGTGATTTACAGCCGCGGGAGCTCAGCTCCATAAACCTCTCAGTCTCACTCACATGATCCATCTTTTTTCCGGGCTGAATTTAGGGAAGAGCGTGCGGGAGCCAGATAAGGTGAGATTTATATTTACCCGTTAAGAGGCGCCCCCTCCCCCGCCGCCCTGTCACCTGGGCGCAGCCCGGCTCGGGCGCGGTCCCGCAGTGCGGCACCCAGAGGACACCCCACCCCGGGCGCCCACCGCGCCCTGGAGCCCCGCGATCCCAACACCCAGAGCCCAGAGAGCCGACGCTCAACAGACGCCCTAAGGACCCGTAGGCACCCCGACGCGCCCCCAGCCCCGGCGGCCCTTACCTTTGTGCTCCTCTGTTGCCGCCCCAAGATCGGGACCCTAACGCCTCTTTCCCGGCACCCTCACCAGGACTCCAAGTCGGGTCTTCCTCTAGCCCTTCCCGCATCCCTGCTCCAGGGGATGTTGCGAGGGCGCACTTGGGTATCAAGTCCCTGGCTAGTCTTCCAGCGCCCTCTACTGGACAGCGCGGGCAGAGGGCGGCCTGGACAGCTGAGTGCGGATCGCTGACCGTCTGGGAGTCGGTCCTCAAAACCTTCTTGGACCCTCTGTCCAGGGCGAGGCGGTGGGGGGCGCAGGACAGCCCTCAGACATCCCTCCCCAGTCCTTGGCCCGTTCCCTCGACGGGTAGCGACATCGGGAGCCGCCGCGCCTGGGCTCTAGTGAGGACAGACCTCGAGCTGCCCCCAGACTGGGCATCCTGGGGCGGGACGCTGGGGTGGGCACTCCGGCAGAAGGGCCGGCCCTGTGTACTCAGGGGCAGGGTCGCCGCCGCGCGCTCGGCAGCAGGGAGTTTAGGACCCAGGGGCAGCGCGGGGCGGCCCTCCGGGCGGCGGGCGGTCCTCCCCACACCCTCCCCGCCGGGTGCGCGGCTCAGATGTCGGAGTAGCGGCGGCTCTGGCGCTCCCCGTCCTCGGTCTGCGGCGGCGGGGGCTGGCGGCCCCGGCCCCTGCCCGGCCCCCTCCCCGAGCCCCATGCCGCAGCTCTAACCCCGCCGCCCTCCCCCGCGGGGGGCACGTCCCCTTGTCCCCAGCCCGCCCCGTCCAAGTCAGGCGCCATGAACGACCAGTACCACCGGGCGGCCCGTGACGGCTACCTGGAACTCCTCAAGGAGGCCACCAGGAAGGAGCTGAACGCCCCCGACGAGGATGGCATGACCCCCACCCTCTGGGCCGCCTACCACGGCAACCTGGAGTCGCTGCGCCTCATTGTGAGCCGAGGGTGAGTGCCGGCCAGGCCCCGTGGGGGAGGGCAAGAGCCTCAGGGCCCATCTGGAGCCCCTGAGACCACCGCTGCCCAACCCTATGGCATCTTCCCCCCACCTCCTCTGAGTCACCTCCTCCCCTAGAACAAGGCCCGAAGGTGGGACCTGGGAGACGGGCAGTCGTGGGATGTGGAGACAAGCTGAGACCTGTAACATTTGTGACCTGGATGTGGGACTTTGCAGGTTGGGGGTGGGGTCCATGACTGTGGTTGGGGCTTCAGAGTGAGGAGAAAGGGGGAGGGGGGCGCCTGGGTGGGTAGCACCAGGAAGCCAGAGCAAGGGCAGGAGAAGCCTGGGGAGAAGGGGCACAAACCTCAGAAGTGGGGCTGCAGAAGGAGCTGCTCCTCACTGCCCACACCCACCCCCGCCCCCAGCGGGGGCCCAAGGGGTCCTTCCCACCAGCGCCCACAGCCCCCGCACACTGGTTCTCACATAGCTTGCTCCCTGCTCACTCCCGGGATTTATGGGTACTGCCTGCAGGACCAAATGTCACTCGGTTCAGCCACCCCATTAACCAGCTCCCTCTGTCCCCCTCCCCCACACAGGCTCCCTCACCCTCCCTTTGGAGTTGTCTGGGGGGAAGACTGGGCATTGCATCCAAGTGTCAGGGCCAGGGAAGGGGTTTGGAAGTAGCAGTTGAGGAATGTGGTGCCCAGGGCCACTGACGTGGGCTCCCTGGGGCTGCCTGACCCTGTGAACTACTTGCCAGCCCCAGCGGTTTAACAAAGGGAAGCCAGGTTGACCCGGACACCAGGGTGGCCTGGACGGGGCAAAGGGAGGCCAGAGGTGCCCCCGGAGGGTTAACATGAGAACATCTCAGGGCCTGGGAAATCATGGTGCAGGCAAAGGGGCCCAGCTGATGCCAGGCCCTGGCCTGCGGTTGGAGCATGGGGTGAGTGGGGAGCCCGCCTTTGCCCTCCCTCCACGGCTGCTCCCTGAGCTAAGCAGCAGGTGACAGCAGCCCCCAAGACTAGGAGCTGAGCCACGTTCCAAGAGGCCAAGACTGGCCCCTGTCCACACCAAGAGGGTACACAGTGATCCTGCTTGCCCCTCGGAGAAGTTCATGGGAAGAGGGGACAAGGGGGCTCCCTGAGTGCACCAACCCCGCAGCTCCTTCGGAGGGCAAGGGCTGGTGCTTGATGGGGTGCGGGCCTGTTGCCCAGCAACTCATTCCCACATGCAGGACTTGAAGACCAGCAGTGGAAATGAGGAGGGGGGTGCAGGGTGGGAGGAGGAGTGGTCACACAATGAAGCTATTCTTCCCCCAGCCCTGGCAGGGTGGCCTCCTCATTAACTTGGGGCAGAGGGCCTGAGCTAGGCCCTTGAGGGAGGAGGGAGCTTGGAGGAGCCAGCGGACATGTCCCCGGAGGGAAAACAGCCTGGCATGGAGGGGCTGCGTGGGTCCCTGGGACAGGCCCAAGCCAGCTTGCCTCCCGGGGCTTGTGAAGATGCAGCGGCCCCAGGACTGGATGGCAGCTGGGCCCAGGTGGCAGGCTGCCGGCCCCCTCCCCTCCCGTCCTGGCTGCCCCCACGCTCCCCTCCTGGCCCAGGCCAAGACCCAACACCTGCTCTCACACGCGGGCTTGCCAGGGCTGGCCCTGCTCCCTGCAGACGTGGCGGGTCCCGGGGACACGCAGGCACGCACTCACACACTCCCGGGGGCTCAGGCCCAGCACACGCCACTAGTACACCACCCTTGTACTGGCAGCCGCATTCACCACGCCTGCCGAGAGACCCGGACTCGGCCCTGGCCCACCACCTCTCTGGGCCAGCTCCCCGCCGGGCACCATGAATAATTCACTCCTTTCTCTCTGGGCATCAAATATTTATCCCCTGAGATTCCCAGCCCGCGGTTCTCTTGGGGGAAGGCCCGGCCCTGGCCCCGCCTTCTCTGTCGCCCCACCCTCTGAGAGCCTGGGCTCACTCTGGGTGCCTGCGGTGGCTCCAGGCTGCGGGTCCGGGTGTCCTGGAGTCGGAGGAGCGATTTCAGGCCGTCGAGTCCCCTCTGGGGTGCCTCTGGGGGGAGCTCAACCAGGCCGGCCGCCTCCCCCGCCTGCAGCCGCCGCCTGCCGACTGTCGGCCTGAGCTTGCGAGGGCTCCTTACTCCTCCCCGCGTTTCGTCCCCGCAGGGGTGACCCGGACAAGTGCGACATCTGGGGCAACACGCCCCTGCACTTGGCGGCCTCCAATGGCCACCTGCACTGCCTCTCCTTCCTGGTGTCCTTCGGGGCCAACATCTGGTGCCTGGACAACGACTACCACACGCCGCTGGACATGGCCGCCATGAAGGGCCACATGGAGTGCGTGCGCTATCTGGACTCCATCGCGGCCAAGCAGAGCGGCCTCAGCCCCAAGCTGGTGGGCAAGCTGAAGGACAAGGCCTTCCGCGAGGCGGAGCGGCGCATCCGCGAGTGCGCCAAGCTGCAGCGCAAGCACCACGAGCGCATGGAGCGGCGCTACCGGCGCGAGCTGGCCGAGCGCGCCGACTCGCTCAGCTTCTCCAGCCTCACGTCCAGCACCCTGAGCGGCCGGCTGCAGCATCTGGCTCTCGCCGGCCACCTGCCCTACTCGCAGGCCACCCTGCATGGCACCGCCAAGGCGGGCCAGACCAAGATCCAGAGGAAGCTGGGGCGCCGCAAGCAGGGCGGCGAGGGCACCTTCAAGATCTCCGAGGACGGCCGCAAGAGCGTGCGCTCGCTCTCGGGCCTGCAGCTGGGCAGCGACGTGATGTTCGTGCGCCAGGGCACCTACGCCAACCCCAAGGAGTGGGGCCGCGCCCCGCTCCGGGACATGTTCCTCTCCGACGAGGACAGTGTCTCCCGTGCCACGCTGGCGGCCGAGCCTGCGCACTCGGAGGTCAGCACCGACTCCGGCCACGACTCCCTGTTTACCCGCCCAGGCCTGGGCACCATGGTGTTCCGCAGAAACTACCTGAGCAGCGGGCTTCACGGCCTGGGCCGCGAGGACACGGCGCTGGACGGCGCGGGCCAGCCGCGGGGGCGGCTGCAGAGCTCCCCCAGCCTCGACGACGACAGCCTGGGCAGTGCCAACAGCCTGCAGGACCGCAGCTGTGGGGAGGAGCTGCCCTGGGACGAGCTGGACTTGGGCCTGGATGAGGACCTGGAGCCCGAGACCAGCCCGTTGGAGACGTTCCTGGCCTCCCTGCACATGGAGGACTTCACCTCCCTCCTGCGGCAGGAGAAGATAGACCTGGAGGCGCTCATGCTCTGCTCGGACCTCGACCTCCGCAGCATCAGCGTGCCCCTGGGGCCCCGCAAGAAGATCCTGGGTGCTGTGCGGAGGCGGAGGCAGGCGCTGGAGCGCCCGCCGGCCTTGGAGGACACCGAGCTGTGAGTGCGCTGCGCCTCCACGGGGATGGGAAGATAGGGCTTGTGTGTAACGCCCTGGGGTGGGCGTGGATCTGCCTTTTGGGGAGGGAGTGGGGGTGATAATAACTAGGTCGTCATCAACTGTAAGAGGCCCCAGTTACTTACCAGGGCTTCCCTGGTGTTTCAGATGGTAAAGGATCTGCCTGCAATGCAGGAGACCTGGGTTCAATCCCTGGGTCTGGAGGATGCCCTGGAGAAGGGCATGGCTACCCACTCCAGTATTCTTGCCTGGAGAATTCCATGGACCGAGGAACCTGGCAGACTATAGTCCCTGGGGTTGCAAAGAGTCCCACGCGACTGAGCAACTAACACTTCCACTTGAAGAAGTTGAGTCGCTGAGTCGTGTCCAGCTCTTGCGACCCCATGGACTGTAGCCCATCAGGCTCCTCTGTCCTTGGGATTTCCCAGGCATGAATACTGGAATGGGTTGCCATTGCCTTCTTCAGAGGATCTTCCCGACCTAAGGATCAAACCCTGGTCTCCTGCATTGCAGGCAGATTCTTTATCAACTGAGCCATCAGGGAAACCACTTATTTACCCCCAATTCTGACAAAGAAGCTGCCAATTTACATTGCTAATGTCAAATGCACCTCAATTTTGAAGATGTCAAGATGCAGGGAAATGGGTGTCTTCCTATGGATGCCACACAGTGGTAATCACAGCCAGGCTGTTTTGAGCCCTGCCATCTCCTGGGTACTGGAGATGCCCTTGTGCAAGTTCTCTCAGTTAATCCTCCCCAGCTCTCACGTGAAGGGGCTATATCATCCCCATTTGACAGGTGAGCAAGTGGAGGTTCAGAGAGTTAGAGTAGCTCGCCTGAGGTCCTGTTGCTGCTGAGTGCAGAGCTAGGCTTGATCCCTGTGGCTCTAGGGGCTAGGGACAAGGTGACTCCCATGGGATAGAGGGTGTGGCAGTCAGTCATCTCTCCAGATGCCCAAACCCTCAAGGCAGATATTTTACCTGCTGGTCCCTAAACCCTGGAACCAGGAACAGGAGCAAATGCTCCCAGCAGGGCCAACAGCAGCCTTGAGGGTGGAGTTGTCACCTTCAAAAAGCCACCATGGGAGCCAAGGGCCGCTGTCTCACTGGCAGTGTCGTTGGCTTGTCCCTGGGCTGACTCGCCATTGTGACATCCCACAAGCCCAGCAAACACTGCTGCCCCCTTTCCGTCTCTCTGGCTTTACGTTGCACAGCTGGGCAGGGGTGGGTGGGGAAGGGCATCTGGTTTAGAGTTTGGAGGATGGGAGGGCACCCTGCGGCCACTCTGCATCCCTGACCATCAGCCTGCCCAGGGAAGGCAAGTGGTCAGAATAGTTGGTCTTGGCTTAAAATAGTCTCCAAAGATTCTTAGCTCAAGTCTGCTTCTGTCTCTTTCTCCACAGGTAACAGGGGGCTCCTCTCCCCAGACCAAAATGAGTTGCAAGTTGCCACAGCCCACAGTGGGACCACGAGGTCCTCACCATTGCCAGCCCTGCACCTCCCCGGCCCCTTCCCCGGAGCAAGGACTATTCAGGTCATCTCTCTTGAACGCCTGTCCACACTCTGCAGCGGAGGGTATGGCCTGGAGGCACCTGGAAGGCCAAGAGAGTGACCCAGAATGTCAATTCTGAGGGGTCTCAGGGCCCCTAAGTCACGTCTATTTGAGTGGCTTTAAAGGACATGTGCATTCATGGAAGGCCAGCCCCAGTGCCAGGGCAGGGGGCGCTAAATGATGTGCCCGTTAGATGGAAGTGTGGGTAGGGGGATGGGGGCACCTGTCTTGGGGACCAGGTCTGTCCTCACCCCTCCTCCAAGGGTGCTGTTGTCCTGCTCAGTCTGGAAACTCACCTCCTACGTTTTTGTGAAGGAAGGGTTTGGGCTGCCTCCCCTCCCCACATATACCCCAGGGAGGAGGTCCCAGCTAGACTCTTCAGCCAAATGCCCGAGCTTAGTCCCCGGCCTGTCACTGGGCATGGCTAGCCCCCCTCCTTCTTCTACTGGCCATGCTGGGGGTGGGCGGCTGGAGTGCCAGGCTGGACTGGGGTAGGGTGACTGGTGCCCTTCCGGCATACCCCGGGGCGGGGTCCAGCCTGACTTGGCCCTCCCCACCCTGACCTCGTCCACTCCCTTTCTCCTCGGATGTACAGCCTGGTTACCCAACCTGTCACCCCCTGCCTAAGGCCCCCGAAGGTCAAGGCCGTAGATCCAAGGTGCTAGAGCAACTGGCTACAGTATTATGGCCCAGTGGGCATGCTCTGGGCTGGGGAAAGGCATCTGCCAACTGGTTCAGAGTCCCCCAGGCCCAGGAGGGCAGAGACTGGCTGTAGCCAGGTGTCCAGCCGAGTGTGGGCAAGGCCTGGGAGGTGGACCCTGGGAGCCTGAGGATGTGGACAGTCTGAACTCTGATTGTCCCCAGACCCCCAGGGCTCTGTCAGGAGGTTGGTTGGTGGATGTCCCCCAAGCTCTGGAAGCTGCTGGATGCCTCTCTGGTTCTGCATGGGTAGCAGGTGAGGGAGAGCTTAGCTAGAGTCCCTGCCCCATCATGCTGGTGTGGTCGGCGGAAAGGCCAGCCTCAGAGGGTCCTCAGACCAAGGTCCTGAGTGTGGGAGAGTCACTACAGCCCACACATCGGGGGCACATATACCCCCATGTGGATGCGTCCTTGCTCCTCCGCCGACAATGGTCCCCCCGTCCCTGATCTTCAGCTTGGGAAGCGGCTCCTACGGGGCGGGGGGGGGGGCATTGCCACAGCCCCCAGCTGCTCCTTCCTGGGGCCCCTGGGCTGGGGCAGGGGAGAGAGAACCCCCACAGAATGCCACAGGCCTCCCTGCGGAGTGTCTATGTTTGAGGATGGCCTCCAGGCACACACGTGCTCCAAGGTGGGGGCGTGATGGAGGTGGCCCCTGTTCCCACACTGAAGGCTTGGCTTCCCTGAGCCCGCCTCAGTCTTTCTGCCAGTCCTCTGGGCCTGGGGCCGCCCCCACGTGCCGATGCAACTTTCCCAGAGCCCTGGGAGCTGCCCTTCCTCTCCGGTTCCCTGTCCACGGATGGCTTCGGCCCCCTCCCCATCCTCCCAGTGCTCCCCGATTCCCCCCACTGTACGAGGCGCCCCTCCTGCAGGCTCATTATAATTTTTGTAGAAAACATTCTGCATCCTTGTCATGTCTGTGTCGTGGTTTACTCATGTGGGGGGTGGGAGATGGGGGTGGGGGGTGAAGAGAGCAAGAGGGTGGAGGTGGGAGAGGGTCTTTTTGTGTCTACGAGGACTTGGTCCTCTTCCTTGCGGGGGGAGGGGGTCCTGGGATAGATGGTAGGGCAGCCCCCACGCATCTCTGCAGAGCCTCCCTCATCCCCAAGTCTTCACCTTGCTCTCTCTGGACCTAGGATTTAGAGCTGATGGAGAGAGGGGGGGTCAGAAGAGCCCCCAGCAGCTGAGTGAGGAGGATCTCAAGACCCAGCCCCAGCGGGGTCTCCATTTCCTTCATCACCCCCAGGGAGCTCGTGGGGCAGTCCTGTTTAGCGATGCCCTTTCTCCCAGGGGAAGGCTTGCCTTGAAGCTGCAGGACAATGGGTTCTGTTTTCTCAGCCAAGTCTGGGAAAGGGCCCTGGAGTCATTTTGTTTCTTTCCCTAAGGTTGCTGGGCCCAGTGCTGCTGTCAAGGGCAGTTCAAGACAGCCTCGTCCCTCCAGGATCATCAGAAAGGTTTACAGGAGGACATCAGAGCCACAAGATTGCCCAGCGAGCATCTAGAGGTTCTCGGTCACCTCCTTCCACTTTACAGATGGGAAACCTGAGGCCTACCGAGGAGACCCAGGCCTCCTGATTGCTGCCAGGCGTTCCTCACCCCCATCACCCCTATCATGCCCATCCCCACCCCCACCTCGGTTGCCGGGGGGACCAATAAAGATGCGAGATGCCGCCCTCAGGTGCTCCTCGGCGTTCCACTACCTCGCGACCCCTACTGGCAGTCCTGGTCACTGCACCTACCTCACCAAAGATCCGCCTCCTGGCGCCGCCGGTCCAGGGACGGACATGGGGGTGAGGAAGCCAGAAGAACAGACCCGAGCTTCGGCGTGGAGGCGAGACTAACCGGAAGCAGTGGGGGCTGGGGTCCCCACGGGTGGAAGCCTGGGGTGCAGCAGCTGGTGTGGCTCCAGGAGGTCTAAGGGGACTTTAAACACAGCGAAGGGGGCAGATTTATACAGTAGGGATTCACCCTTCTCTGCTCATTCCCCGTAAAATTTAGATCGAGGTTAGGGAAATTCTGAAATGCTAGACTAATCAATGATTCTTAGCTCTGGGGGATTAGAATCTGGTGCCAGTATGGACACTTGCCCTGTAAAAATGCACATTGCACACGTTTACACTCACGTACAACTTTCCTCCTGACTCCAGGCAGCTCCTGTAGCCAGTAGAAGCTCAGGGACCCGCGCTCCCCAAGCCTTAGGGTTTCCGTGGTGGCTCAGTGGTGAAGAAGCCACCTGCTGATGCAGGAGACATGGGTTCCATCCCTGGGTCAGGAAGATCCCACATGCCTCCGAGCAACTAAGCCCATGTGCCACAACTACTGAGCCTGTGCTCTGAAGCCTGGGAACCACAGCTCTTGAGCCCACACACACTAAACCTCGTGCTCAGCAACTAGAGAAGCCACCGCAATGAGAAGCCCGTGCCCTGCAACGAAGCCTGGCCTCCGCTCACCACAACTAGAGAAAAGCCCTTGCAGCGACAAAGACCTGGTGCAGCCAAAAATAAATACATAAATGAAATTAATTTTTAAATAAGAAGGCTTAGTGAGACTTCTGTGACGTTACATCATAAACGAGATTGCGAAGTTGCTGGAGGTGGGGGTGGTGGGATGAATCAGGCAGGAAGGGCCTCAGGGAATGTGGCACATTTTTTTGTTTTGCCTGCTCTTTGTAGCATGCAGGATCTTAGTTCCCACACCAGGGATCAACCCTGGGCCCCCTGCGTTGGAAGTGCAGAGTCTTCACCCCTGGACGACCAGGGAAGACCCAACAGACTTCTCTTTTTACAGATGAAGTAACAGGCCACTGGGCAAGGGGGCTAGCCAAAGATCACAGAGCAGCCAGGTGGGTTAAGTAACACTCGGTTGCCTGATGCCTCTTGCAGTGCCAGCTGCCTCCTGTTCCCAGGTTAGATAGTCCCGGGAGGCACCATACTCCATCCTCCCAGCGTGTAACCTGTGTAACCTTCTCTGAGACGAGCATGGGTTGTTCGGGAGGTGGTCGTACTCCAGGAGGCAGCCGGATCTGGGCAGCAACTCTGGCTTTTCCCCTGTCCAGATGTTGCCCTAGGGAAGGTACCCAGCCTCTCTGAGTGTTCCCTCATTTGTAAAACAGATCTTATAATATATTATGAAAGTGGTACCCGCATGGGTCACTGGGAGGTGGTAATGACAATGCGCAGAAAGCACTTAACATGCTGCCCAGGATTTAGTGCACGTGGGTTAGTAAAGATCATGGCTATCGGTGGGGTCTGAAACGGGCCCACGGGGCACTCCTTGCGTCTGTGGTCCCGGCGGCCCAGTAGGTGAGTCCAAGGCAGTTCCAGTGAGCAGTCCTGCTTTTCTGACCCTTATGTGGCAAACAACCAGAGCCCATCCTCATCAAACCAGCAGGGGGTGTTGACAATCCAGCCAGCGTCCCTCGCCAAGGGTGGGGAAGGACCCCTGGAGAAGTCTGAGCTGTTAAGGTGCGCAAGGAGCTGAGTATCTTTTAGGGAGGGGGAGTTGCAGACCCACCAGCCTGCCCCCATTTTGCCACTGTCAGAGCTTTACCAAAAGCTTTCCCCACTCCTGCGATGTAGGCAGGTGAGGGGTTTTATCCTTTACAGGTGAAGATAATGAGTATCAGAAAGGTTTTCTGATGTTCCCAAGGTCTCAGAAAGTTAAGGAAAGTTCAGGATCCCTCCCCTATGCCCCTTCTGCCACTCCTGCAAGGGCAGGAGGACATTATATACAAGCCCCATTTTACAGGTGTGGCAACCGAGGTTCAGGGGGCAATGACCTGCTGGGAACTGCGTAAGCCAGGATGTTTAGTCTGGACCATTCACACAGCTGCACTTGGTCAGCTGCCGTCTCAGGGCATGTATCTAGCACTTTCTACATATCGGGCCCAGCAAACCCAGGAAAATGGTGTGTCACGGCTCTGTCTCACAGTTAAGGAGACCGGGGCTCGGGTAGGTTTAAGTCATTTCTCCAAGCTTTGGGACTCCCCTGGTGGCTGACACCGTAAAGAAACTGCGTGCAATGCAGGAGACCCGGGTTCAATCCCTGGATTGGAAAGATTCCCCTGGAGGAGGAAATGGCTACCCACTCCACTATTCTTGCCTGGAGAATCCCACGGACAGAGGGGCCTGATGGGCTACAGTCCACAGGGTCACAAAGAGTCGGACGTGACTGAATATTGCACAGCACCAAGCTTCTGAATGCAGAAATGTCAGGGCTGTGGGATTCAAACCCCAAACTCTGGCTCTTTCCATGGCCGTCCCAGAACCATTACTGAGCTGGATGCTTACTCAGCCTGATTCAGGGGCTCCCTGGGTCCGAACAGGGGCTCCGCTGGCAGGACTTGGGGAGGTGGGATGGGGGACAGACGGGCCTCTCTGCCCGCTCCTGCTCAGCCTTTAACTATACCACTCATGGCTCTCTGCCTGTGTGTACATGTGTATATGTGTGCCCGTGTGCGCCCATGTGTGGGTGGGTGTATGTGATGTAGCTGAGGACCCGCACGTGGATCCATGCAAGGACAGGGTGTGATGGACCCAGCACGTCCTGGGAAGCTTGTATTTACTTGTGAGCTTCAGTGTGCTTCTGTGTCTCTGTCGTTTTCCCCATTTGTCTTTGCCTCGGGGTTTCCAGGTTTTCCAGAGGAGGAATGTGTGCACGTGAGTGTGCGTGTGTGTGTGTGTGTGTGTGTGTGTGCACGCACAGTCACAGAGGGCTTCATGACTTGGTCTAGAGTCTACTTTATTTTTTAAATATTTACTTATTTGGCTGCATAGAGTCTTAGTTGTGGCACACAGGCT